CTGCGCTTATTACTCCCGGAAACTCAATCCTTCCGAGCGCAACTACACCATCTGGGAAAAAGAGTTGCTGGCTATCAAGGCCGCGTTCGAGGCTTGGCGGCATCACCTTGAGGGGGCCCGATACCAGGTGGAGGTGCGGACGGACCATCGGAACTTAGAGCACCTCACCACGGCCAGGAAGTTGAACCAGCGGCAGATCTGGTGGTCGTTGTTTTTTGCCCGGTTCAACTTCCACGTCACCTATGTTCCAAGCGGCCTCAATCAGAGGGCGGACGCGCTATCCTGCAAGCCGGAATACTTCTGCCCCAAGGACCCCCTTCCCCCTCGGACGGTGCTGCCTGCAGAGGCCTTGGCCACGGTCCAGGAACCGGCAGACCTGCGGGCTCAGCTGCGGGAAGCGCAGCACCGTGATGACTGGTCGCAGCAGCGGAGAGCGGAAGTTGGCCCAGCGTCCCCATGGACCTTGGAGGACGGCTTGCTGAAGCACTGGGGCCGACTGTACGTGCCTACAAGCCCGCTCCGAGCCCTCGTCCTGAGCCAGTGCCATGACAATCCCGCGGCGGGGCACTTCGGGTTCTTCAAGACCTTAAACCTGGTGACGCAGACTTTTTGGTGGCCTAGGGTACGGCATGACGTGCACATTTACGTGACATCCTGTGTGACGTGCCGACAGGCCAAATCCGTGTCCGGCCCACCTCCTGGACTCCTCCAACCACTGCCGACACCGGAGAGACCGTGGGGTGCCATCTCCATGGATTTCCTGACGGATCTCCCACTGTCCGCCACGTTCACAACCGTCCTTGTGGTGGTGGACATGCTCACGAAGATGGCCCATTTCATCCTGTGCCGCGGACTGCCATCCGCCCGCACCACAGCCCGTCTGTTCCTGCAGCACATCTTTCGCCTCCATGGCCTGCCGGACAGGGTAGTGTCGGACCGCAGGGCCCAGTTCACGGCCCAGTTCTGGAAAAGCCTGATGGCTGCGCTGGAGGTGCAGGTGTGCCTATCGTCGGCGCACCATCCGGAGACTGACGGGGGCACGGAGAAGGTCATCGGCATCCTGGAGCAGTACCTCCGCTGTTTCGTCAACCAGCAGCAGAACAACTGGGCCGAGTACCTTCCCCTGGCGGAGTTCGCATTCAACAACTCCCAACACACTTCCACCCAGATGACCCCGTTCCACGCCAATGTCGGTTACCATCCCCGGTTTTTCCCGTTGGCGATCCCATATTCCCCTGTTCCCGAGACCCAGGACTTCCTCTCGGAGCTGCAGGCGGTGCAGCAACTGGTGCGAAGGCAGCTGATTTGGGCGAAGGAGGACTATAAGCGGGTCGCTGACCGCTCCCGACGGGCCATGCCACCGCTGGAAGTCGGAGATCGGGTGTGGCTGTCCACGAAACACCTCCCCTCGGACCGGCCGGTGAGGAAATTGGACCACCGCTTTATCAGTCCCTTCCCAGTTGAGGCGGTCATCAACCCGGTGGCCTACCGGTTGGCTCTACCACGCTCCATGCAACTCCACCCCGTGTTTCATCGGTCCCTCCTCGTCCCTGAGGCCCCTGCGAGCCATCTCCGACGCCCGACAATGCCTGCCCCTCCGGTCGCAGCCGACAAGGACGACGCCTCGACATACGAGGTAGACAGTATTCGGGACTCCCGTTGGCTGAAGGGGCGCTTCCAATACCTCATCGCCTGGAAGGGGTACGGGCCCGACGATTTCAGCTGGGTGGACGCGTCTTCCGTTCAGGCCCCTGACCTGGTACGGGCCTTTCACGACCGGTTTCCGTCCCAACCGTATCCCGACTGTCAGACCCGGGGAAAGGACCCTGCGGTGGGGGATAGTGTTGTGGCTCCGTCCGGTGGGTCCCTCTCATCAGAGGAGGAAGGCTCTGAACATGAAGGAGAGGAGATGGCCAGGCCTCCCTCTCCAGGCCCTTCCCCTCTGGTGCGGCTTTCGGTGCCTTCCGACGGAGAGGAGTTTGGCCAGGAGCCCGGTGTTTCTGGGATTGGCCAGGAGCCCGGT